CATCGATGCTCCTACTTGGCCAATCCATCTCATTGGGGGTCTTCCTCTTTTTCCCTGACCCACCACCTCACCAAACACATGATATCCTTCTCCAGCAACTGGTCCCTCCTGATAATATGTCTTAAGTATGAGAGACGAAGTTTGGCCATCCTGGCCTCCAAGGAGCACTCTGGTTGCATTTCTTCTAAAATGGATCTATTTTATTAGTTGTTGTTGTTATTAAGTGCCATTGAATAGAACCATGAAAATATGTTCCCGCCTCTATTCCATCATCTTCCCCTTAATATATACTATATTCATTGTCTATTACAACATGGCATTAACTCCTTTCTACCTGGTGTGGTGCTGTGGGTTAATGCACCAGATTGCAAAGCCGTTTGTACTGCAAGGTCGGCAGCTCAAGCTCACCAGCTGCTCCTCAGAAACCCTATACAGGATCGCTATGGGTTGGAATTGACTCAATGGCACTTAACAACAACAACAACCTTTGTTAAGTTTTTTTTCTTTTCCTTTTTGCAATGTCTCAGCTTTCCCCCCAATTCCCACTGTATATAATTGGGGAGTGCTGTGGCTCTGTAAGATAATCACTGGACTGGGAACCACAGGTTTATGGTTTGAGCCCATCAGCTGTTCTGCAGGAGAATGAGGCTTTCTGCTCCCACAAAGATCTAAAGCTTCTGAAACCTTATACAGGGTTGCTATGAGTCAGAACCAACTTGATGGCACAACAACCACAACAACATGCAGGAAAACTTAGATCTTTTCTCAGAGCACTTTGCTTGTTCTCCCATTATAACTGACCACACTGCAGTAGTATTGCATGTAAGAGATGTGCGGGGCAGGACATGTCAGATTCTGTTCTTGATAATCACAAATACTTAGCCTGACACTTAATTATACACCATAGTGGAAAGAACATGGATCCAGACCGAAATATACCATTTATTGCTGTGTGATCTCGAGGAACTTATTTAAACTGAGTCTCAATTGCTTCTTGTGTATAATGGTGCTAGTATGATTCCCCTTTACCATTCTTATTTCCCATCCTCAATATTAAGTACTGACAACAATAACTGACAAAAGAAATATGACTTTCTATTATAATAAAACACATAGACACATGCACACATGAACACACATATTTGTTATACTATTAGAAGATACATGAAAATGAGAAAAAGAAAGAGATTATTATTTTTAGAAAAGATAGAGTTTTAATTTCTTTCATGGTACATTATCCATGTTATTGGTATATTAATTGGGTCTTTCAAGTCATCAGATATATGAAAGTTTGAAGATTATTAGCTTAAAATATATATTTACAAAAAAATCAAATTTGTACTCACGTATTTGCAAAACATAGCATGCATTCATTGGGGTAAGTATTTCCATCTGTCCCACATACAGGTTTATAAATCTTGGGGCATCCATTAACATCACTATTACAGTTAGCCTAAAAGTGAAATTAAGCAGGATAATTTTCCATGATCAATTAAGAAAGTGATACTGTGTGTTCCAGGAGACAGAATTCCAAACTTGGAGTCAGAAAATATGGCTTTAATGTTGCCTCTGTTATTTACATATTATGTGACACTGGGGTCGTGTGACTTCTTTGAACCTTAGTTTCTTACATCTGAAAAATGGGAATGACTTTTTTTTTTTTTTTAATTGTGAATAGAGTAAAGGTTTACAGACAAGATCATCAGCTTTACATTCAATGAATCATATACTTTGTGTCATCTCAATGATTACAATTCCCTCCATGCAATAATGGTTGGTTATCCTGCCTCCCCTGTGGTTCCTATTTCCATACCACCCACCTCTCCCTCCCTTCTTAACTTTGTCCTTAGGACAATGTTGCCCTTTTGATTTTGAATGATTGACCATGCCATGATAAGTATGCCTTGCTAGTGTTGTTGCCACGTCCCAGCCCCCACCCCCACCTTCTATAAACCTACTTACAAACATAAGCCTGTATCCAAAGTAAGATTGCAATTTAGTTTTTGTAAGTTAAATCTTGCTAGCATTCATATTCCTCATATTGACTTCTGGCTCAATGTAAAGGTGACGGCTGCTCTGTTTATTGGTTGGAACAAAAAGTTCCAACTGGTTAAAAAAAGGCAAAAAAAAAAAAAAAAAAAAAAAAAAGGCAAGCTTCTTCTTACCTCTCTTTCCAAGCAGTTAATTCTTGTGTTTCCTAGAAAACATAAATCAGACATATTAACTTGAATCCTAAGACAAGGGCAGCCATATGCAGTCTCATTTTCAGAATTTTCTGTTTTTATTAAAGACTATAACTTCTCTTCCACTCTGAACACTTTCTTATTTCCATCTTTTCTCAAGGGTATATGGCTTGATCCTATCCCTGCCTACTGAAACCTGAAAAAATTTTTTTAAACAAAAGCTTAACCAGGATCAAAATAACTCAATTTTGTGTTTTAGAAATGTTGATCCATTTCCTTGAAGATAGAAATTCTGTACTTAACAGTTTGATATATATCAGGCACTGGGCAAATATCTCAGCTAGTTAACCCCTTGATACTCAAGTGATGTAGTTAGTATCTTTAGCTCAGTTTATGGAAGAAGGTATGGATAGCTTATGTGACTAGTTTTGACACAGTTAACCACTAGCAGTAACAACCAGGTATTCTGGTACAAAATTAACTTTAGCAATCACATTTAAGTCCTCTCTATTTATTTGTTTGCTGTGATAAAAATAGACATGAAAATCATATGTCAATTTAATAATTTCTACATGTAGAGGTGGGATGGGGCTCAAAAAGTTTGTGGGAAACTGGAATTCAAAGATAATGAGGGAAAAAAAAAACATAGTGGAATTTTCCTACAAACTTTAAAACTCTGTCATATAATATAGTGACATTGATTACATACTTCAAGTGGTGCAAATATTCCCACTGTTCTTTTCCAAACAATCCCACATTAACATTAACAAAATGTCCCCTATGTAAAAATTCTCCCCTTTACCCTTCTTCCCATCCTTGGTAACCACTATGAAGTCATATTTTATAACGAATGTTAAAAAATGGCATCACCACCAGTTCCCAAGATTTTTGTTTCCTACAATTGTGTTACTTTGGTGGATTATAGGTCCAATCTACATTTCATGGACATACAGATCGATGGTCAGAATAATCACCATGAAGTCCCCAGAAAATAGGAGGTTTGCTGACATCATGCAGAGTATCATATGAATTTATTGAAGGGAAAAGTAGCTAATCTGAGAGCCCATAGGAAGAAATAGTGGTGAGATTTGATTTTACTGTCCACAATCTCTGAAATTATTTGGGTGAACCAAAACTCTACCCATTGAAGCCTAGTAGATTCCAACTCGTGGCAATTCATACAATACAGAGTAGAACTGACTCGCAAGATTCTTTTAGCTGTATTCATTACAGAAGCAGGAAACCAGCCATTTCTTCCATGGCACTCCTGGGTGGCTTTGAATTACTCATCTTTAGGGTAATAGTCAGGTGCAAACCATGCCATTTAGGAACCTTGATCTGGGTGTTGTTGCTAAGCGTCGTTGAGTTGGTTCAGACACATAGCGACTCTGTGTAGGGTTTCCAAGCAGTTGCTGTAAGCTTGAACTGCCGACCTTTTGGTTCAAACTGACTTTGCAGTCCAGTGCATGAATCCACAGCACCATACTAGTTTCTCATAATTAAGGGTGGTGAAAAATAGTTAGGCATCAATGGGCTTAGAGAAGGCTCCGTGAAACAATCTGATCTTGTTAGAGTTCCACAGGAATTCAGAATCTCCTTGCATTTTAAAATTGATGAACAAGTGGTCACCACAGGCATCTATTTGTGTCATTTAATATGCATGAGGAGGGGCAAGGTCCCACCACTCCCATAAATATTCAGTTACAATGCTTTCCCTTTTTAAGCAAAGTGCTTATTTGACGCTCAGTAAGTTTCTTTGCATGATCACACATGAAGTTGAAAATGTTAACTATTTCCAGTGACAGAAAGGAAGCGCCTCCAAATTCCATGGATCAAACTTGTTTGAAACCGTAGTCAAGATATAGTTGGCTGATAACACACACCATCTATTCATGCAAAAATATCTTTCCTGGAAACATTCTGAATATCAATAAATACATCTCAACCAATAAACCTCTGCCTTTCATATTGAATAACCCAAACACGTTGTTACATTTAAATGTAATTCCATGGGAATTTAAAATTGTTAAACTGGTCTCACACATTTGCAAAGCGAAAAATGTACTCATGATTGAAAACTATCTGTCCACTTCTGCCTTATTTCTGACAAGAGTCAGCCTCTTCTCACTAAAAGAAAACCATCTCAGAACTGTCTTCACTTAGTGGATACTTTTCCTTACCTTTTACTAAAATCTTTCTATCATCCTCAACCACTGATCTTATTTCATGTAATTGGGACCAAAAGATCTGACTAAGACTAAATCAAAATCCAGAGGACAATGTATTCGGCAAAGCAACAAGAGGAAAAGTTTTTACTCAAATCAGAAAAAGGTGCAGAGAAACCTACCAGATAAACTGAACAGGACCAAGGCACTGAGCAGAAAGATGCTTGTCTTCATGGCTGAAGTTCTGTGTCCAGAGCTTAGTTGAAAATGGTAGCAAACTTACCACTTCTCTCCAGATCTTGGGGACTGAGTCATATATATGGGATGACAATAGAGGCTCTACCTGCTGTGCCATGTCACAGACTTCCTTGATTATTGATTAACTCCAGATCGTAACCTGACTCTCAGCTTCTTTTGGCACTGTGGACTAATGCACTGTAATGCAAAGTTGATTTGAACAACAAGGTCTGCGGTTCATGCTCACTAGATGCTCCTAAGAAGCCCTTTACAGGGTCACTATGGTTTGGAACTGACTTGACAGAACTTAACAACAACAAGAAAAATGGGTTAGGGGTGGAGTGGAAATATCCAGGCTATGATTCTCTCAGGAAAACTTGTCTGGGGGTTAGTTATTTCTATGTGTAACTCTCTCTATTATTATGGAAAGACCCTCCCTTTCTTGAGCTCCATTTTTCTCATCTATAGTGAATTTATTGTTGTTAAGTGCTGTCGAGTTGACTCCAACTCATAAAGACCCTGTATAGGGTTTCTCAGGAATAGATGGTGAGTTTGAGCCACCAACCTTGCAGTTCAAATCCACCTTTGGATCCAGGGCATTATCTCACAGAGCCACCCCAGGAGTCTGTAAGTAAATTACAAGGTGTAAACTACATAATTTAGCAGGCACGAACTGCCAGATCTCCAAGATTCCTGTAGTTCTAGGTTGTTGTTTTAGGTGTCATCGAGTTGGTACCTACTCATAGCAATCCTATGTACAACAGAACTAAACACTGCCCAGTCTGGGCCAACCTAACCATCACTGCCATGCTTGAGCCCACTGATGCTGCTACTTGACCAATCCATCTTGCTGAGGGTCTTCCTCTTTTTCTCTGACCCTCCACCTTA